ACCAGACAGAAAATCAACAAGGATATCCAGGGCTTGAACTCAGACCTGGAACAAGCAAACCTGATAGACATTTACAGAACTCTCTACCCCAAATCAACAGATTATACATTCTTCTCAGCACCACATCAAACCTACTCTAAAATTGACCACATAATTGGAAGTAAAGCACTCATCAGCAAATGCAAAACTAAAATCATAACAAACAGTCTCTCAGACCATAGCGCAATCAAGTTAGAACTCAGAATTCAGAAACCGACCCAGAACCGCACAGCTTCATGGAAACTGAACAACTGGCTCTTGAATGTTGACTGGATAAACAATGAAATGAAGGCAGAAATAAAGAAGTTCTTCAAAACCAATGAGAACGAAGACACAACATGCCAGAATCTCTGAAATACATTTAAAGCAGTCTCTAGAGGAAAATATATAGCAATAAGTGCCCATATGAGGAGAATGGAGAGATCCAAAATTGACACCCTATTGTCAAAACTGAAAGAGCTAGAGGAGCAAGATCAAAAAAACTCAAAACCTAGCAGAAGACAAGAAATAACTAAGATCAGAGCAGAACTAAAGGAGATAGAGACACGAAGATCCCTTCAAAAAAAATCAAAAATTCCAAGAGCTGGTTTTTTGAAAAGATCAACAAAATAGACAGACCACTAGCCAGACTGATAAAAAAGAAAAGAGAGAACCACCAAATAGATGCAATAAAAAATGATAAAGGGGAAATCACCACAGATTCCACAGAAATTCAAACCATCATCAGAGAATATGACAAACAACTCTATGCACATAAACTAGTAAACCTGGAAGAAATGGATAAATTCCTGAACTCCTATGTCCTCCCAAGCCTAAATCAGGAGGAAGCTGAAACTATGAATTGACCAATAACAAGGTCAGAAGTTGAGGCAGCAATTAAGAGCCTACCACACAAAAAAAGCCCAGGTCCAGATGGGTTCACATCCGAATTCTACCAGACACACAACGAGGAGCTGGTACCATTCCTTCTGAAACTATTCCAAATAATCCAAAAAGAGGGAATCCTTCCCAAATCATTTTATGAGATGAACATCATCCTGATACCAAAACCCAGCAGAGACCCAACAAGAAAAGAAAACTTCAGGCCAATATCCATGATGAACATAGATGCAAAAATCTTCAATAAAATATTGGCAAGCCGATTGCAACAGCAAATCAAAAAACTTATCCATCATGATCAAGTAGGATTCATCCCGGGGATGAAAGGCTGGTTCAACAGACCTAAGTCTATAAACGTAATTCACCACATAAACAGAACCCAAAACAAAAACCACATGATTATCTCTATTGACGCAGAGAAGGCATTCGACAAAATTCAACAGCCCTTTATGCTAAAAACCCTCAATAAACTCGGTATCGATGGAACGTATCTCAAAGTAATAAAAGCTATTTACGACAAACCAACAGCCAATATCATACTGAATGGGCAAAAACTGGAAGCATTCCCTTTGAAATCCGGCACTAGACAAGGATGCCCTCTTTCACCACTCCTATTCAATATAGTACTGGAAGTTCTAGCCAGAGCAATCAGGCAAGAAAAAGAAATAAAGGGTATTCAAATAGGAAAGGTGGAAACCAAATTGTCTCTATTTGCAGACGACATGATAGTATACCTAGAAGACCCCATCACCTCAGCCCAAAAACTCCTGAAACTGATAAACAACTTCAGCAAAGTCTCAGGATATAAAATCAATGTGCAAAAATCACAAGCATTCCTCTACACCAATAACAGACTTAAAGAAAGCCAAATCAAGAACAAACTGCCATTCACAATTGCTACAAAAAGAATAAAATACCTAGGAATACAACTCACAAGGAACGTAAGGGACCTCTTCAAGGAAAACTACAAACCACTGCTCAACGAAATAAGAGAAGACACAAACAGATGGAGAAACATTCCATGTTCATGGTTAGGAAGAATTAATATCGTGAAAATGGCTATACTGCCCAAAGTAATTTACAGAATCAACACTATCCCCATCAAGCTACCATTGACTTTCTACACAGAACTGGAAAAAACCACCAGAACTTCATACGGAAGCAAAAGAGAGCCCGCATAGCCAAGTCAATTCTAAGCAAAAAGAACACAGCGGGGGGCATCACACTACCGGATTTCAAAATATACTACAAGGCTACAGTAATCAAAACAGCATGGTACTGGTACCAAAACAGAGATATAGACCAATGAAACAAAACAGAGGCATCGGAGGCAACACAACATATCTACTACCATACAATCTTTGATAAACCTGACAAAAACAAGCAATGGGGAAAGGATTCCCTGTTTAATAAATGGTGTTGGGAAAACTGGCTAGCCATGTGCAGAAAGCAGAAACTGGACCCCTTCCTGACACCTTACACTAAAATTAACTCCAGATGGATTAAAGACTTAAACATAAGACCTGGCACCATAAAAACCCTAGAAGGAAATCTAGGCAAAACCATCCAGGACATTGGAGTAGGCAAGGACTTCATGAACAAAACATCAAAAGCATTGGCAGCAAAAGCCAAAATAGACAAATGGGACCTAATGAAACTCCACAGCTTTTGCACGGCAAAAGAAACAGTCACTAGAGTGAATCAGCAACCAACAGAATGGGAAAAAATGTTTGCAGTTTACCCATCTGACAAAGGGCTGATATCCAGAATTTACAAAGAACTCAAACAGATTTACAGGAAAAAAACAAACAAGCCCATTCAAAAATGGGCAAAGGATATGAACAGACACTTTACGAAAGAAGACATATATGAGGCCAACAATCATATGAAAAAATGCTCATCATCACTGGTCATCAGAGAGATGCAAATCAAAACCATGTTGAGATACCATCTCATGCCAATTAGAATGGCGATCATTAAAAAATGTGGAGACAACAGATGCTGGAGAGGATGTGGAGAAAAAGGAACACTTTTACACTGTTGGTGGGCGTGTAAATTAGTTCAACCATTGTGGAAGACAGTGTGGCGATTCCTCAAGGCCTTAGAAATAGCAATTCCATTTGACCCAGCAATCCCATCACTGGGTATATATCCAAAGGACTATAAATCGTTCTACTGTAAGGACACATGCACACGAATGTTCATTGCAGCACTGTTTACAATAGCAAAGACCTGGAATCAACCCAAATGCCCATAGATGATAGACTGGATTGGAAAAATGTGGCACATACACACCATGGAATATTATGCAGCAATCAGAAATGATGAGTTCGTGTCGTTTGTAGGGACATGGATGAATCTGGAGAACATCATTCTCAGCAAACTGACACAAGAACAGAAAATGAAATACCGCATATTCTCACTCATAGGCGGGTGATGAAAAATGAGAACACATGGACACAGGGAAGGGAGTACCAAACACTGGGGTTTATTGGGGGGAAAAGGGGAGGGCCAGAGTGGGGGGAGCTGGGGAGGGATAGCCTGGGGAGAAATGCCAAATGTGAGTGAAGGGGAGAAAGGAAGCAAAACACACTGCCATGTGTGTACCTATGCAACTGTCTTGCAAGTTCTGTACATGTACTGCAAAACCTAAAATGCAATAAAAAATTTAAAAAAAATCTCTTTATTATGATAAAAGGAATTTTTTAGCTAAAATGTAATAATAAAGATATATGTGTATCCCATGGCTCTTTCATAACTCCTAGTATCGACTCTGAAAGGACTATTTACTGTTGGATAAAACCATAGCCACATTTGTTGATTTGAGTGGGGAAAAAAATGACACTACTGGCTCCATCAATGTGAGTAGGAAAATTTATGGCAACCTCTCGCCATGGTCCCCACCTCAGAACAGTAACATGGGATTGGGAGTTGTCTCCTAGCTTCTTCTCCCTGGGGAGAAAAAAAAGGAATACTGGACCTTATTTTTTTTTCCGGGGGCTGTCTGAGGGACTGGCTTCTATCTTGCCTGTAGTGAAAAACTGACATGAGCCGGTATACCCTACGTGCCAGGGGCCACTGAGAACAAAAGTGCTGCAGCAAGCTTCTGCTTCACAGGAACCACAGTGTGACAGACAGAGGTCCATACAGTTTGACGACCACTCCCTCAGTGGGACAGAAAAGCCTGGAGTGTCCATCCAATATCTTGGCTTTTCAAGGAGCTGTCCAGGGACTGGTTTCTGTCTTGCTTGTCATGGAGCACTGACCGGACCTAGCATACTCTATATGCCTGGAATCTACTGAACAAAAGAGAGTCGGGAGTGCTGGCTCATGCCTGAAATCCCAGCACTTTGGGAGGCCAAGGCAGGCAGATCACTTGAGCCCAGGAGTTTGAGACCAGCATGGGCAACAGGGTGAAACCCCAAATCTACAAAAAATACAAGAATTAGTTGGGTATTGTGGTGCACACTTGTGATCTCAGCTACTTGGGAGACTGACGTGGGAGGATCCCTTGAACTCACGAAGCCGAGGTTGCAGTGAGCCAAGATTGTGCCACCGCACTCCAACATGGGTGACAGAGTGAGACCCTGACTAACCAAAGAAAAAAAAAGCTGGCAGCATGCTGCTACTTCAGAGGCCCCACAATACAAGACAGACCAGTGGGAGCAAGAGGTTATGACACCCAGAAAAAAAAAACTGGCAAATACTTCTAATAAGGAATTTATACAGATGAGTCCTAAGAAGACAGATCCACAGAAAAGGTTTGAAAGGCTCCCAGAATGCCTACCTGGACTGATGAGTGAAGGTCTTTCCCTGTACAAAAGCAATCAGTAAACACTGTGTGAGGTGGCTGTTTTTTCAAATGTGTGGATGCCATACAAGGTTACAAGGAACAAAAAGAAAAAGGAAAAAATAACCCTGTCAAATGAACAAAATAAGTCTCCAGAAACCAACCCAAAAAATAAATAAGGTATATGAATTACATTGCAAGGAATTTAGAATAACTGTTGAAATGATGCTCACAAGAAAATAATACAGAAAAAAGAATTTCAACAAAGATAAAGAATAGAAAAAAGGGCTGGTTTGAAAACGATGGCATGGGTACCAGCCGAATCCGCAGTGGAAGAGTTGATGCCTCGGCTATTACTGGATCGAAGCAGCTCAATGTCCAGATGTTGTGGTAGCTCAAATTGACCCAAAGAAGTTGAAAAGGAAGCAAAGTGTGAATATTTCTCTTTCAGGATGCCAACCCGCCCCTGAAGGTTATTCACCAACACTTCACTGGCAACAGCAACCAGTGGCACGGTTTTCAACTGTTCGACAGAATGTGAACAAACATAGAAGTCACTGGAAAACACAACAGTTTGACAGTAATGTGACCAGGCCAAAATCTGAAGATGAAGAAGCCTGGAAGAAATTTTGTCTGGGTGAAAAGTTATGTGCTGATGGTGCTGTTGGACCAGCCACAAATGAAAGTCCTGGAATAGATTATGTACAAATTGGTTTTCCTCCCTTGCTTAGTATTGTTAGCAGAATGAATCAGGCAACAATAACTAGTGTCTTGGAATATCTGAGTAATTGGTTTGGAAAAGAGACTTTACTCCGAAATTGGGAAGATGACTTTATGCTTTATTGGCTTGTCTTGAAAAGCCTTTATTATCTGAGGCTCATTCACTGATTCGGCAGCTTGCAAGAAGGTGCTCTGAAGTGAGGCTCTTAGTGGATAGCAAAGATGATGAGAGGGTTCCTGCTCTGAATTTATTAATCTGCTTGGTTAGCAGGTATTTTGACCAGCATGATTTAGGTGATGAGCCATCTTGATGTAGCTGATCTCTCAGGGATAGAAGATATTTCTCATGAAGGCAGCCTCACTCTGAGGAAAGCAATGCCAATTCAAGTACAGATTGCAACATATCTTCAACACTGTGTGAAGGGCTCACATCTTTACCTGCACATTTCAGATTGATACTCAGAATATAGGTTGTATTGATTTGAATATCTGAAATATCAATGGAAAATCCCAGTTTTTAATGAACAATTTAAACAGTTTTACGTAATCAAGCAGCTTGTATAGAAATTGTATGCTGAAATTTTACATAGGTTCCTAGTGCTGTTTTGTTCTTTTATTGTTTTCATTTTTTGTTTTGTTATTTGCTGATATACATATAAAATTTTATTGAAAAAAAAAGAACAGAAAAAAGAACTAAACAGATTTTGGAGCTAAAAAAATGCAGTAACTGGACTAAAAAATTCACTAGAGGGGTTCATCAGCAGACTTGATCGAGTAGAAGGAAGAATCAGGAAATTTGTTTTATTTTATTTTATCTTTTTTTTTTTGAGACGGAGTTTCGCTCATTACCCAGGCTGGAGTGCAATGGCGCGATCTCGGCTCACTGCAACCTCTGCCTCCTGGGTTCAGGCAATTCTCCTGCCTCAGCCTCCTGAGTAGCTGGGATTACAGGCACGTGCCACCACGCCCAGCTAATTTTTTGTATTTTCAGTAGAGACGGGGTTTCACCATGTTTACCAGGATGGTCTCGATCTCTTGACCTCGTGATCCACCCGTCTCGGCCTCCCAAAGTACTGGGATTACAGGCTTGAGCCACCGTGCCCGGCCCTATTTTATCTTTTGAGATGGAATCTTGCTCTGTCACCCAGGTTGGAGTAGAATGGCGTGTTCTTGGCTCACTGCAACCTCCACCTCCCGAGTTCAAGTGATTCTCCTGCCTCAGCCTCCCACATAGCTGGGACTACAGGCATGCATCACCATGCCTGGCTAATTTTTATATTTTTAGTAGAGACGGGATTTCGCCATGTTGGCGAGCCTAGTCGCGAACTCCTGACCTCAAGTGATTCACTCGCCTCAGCCTCCCAAAGTGCTCAGAATCAGGAAATTTGAAGAAAAGTCATTTGAAATCATCTAGTCAGGGAAGCAAAAAGGAAAAAACAAAATGGAAAAAGAAAGTGAAGCCTAAAGGAGTTATGGGACACCATCAAGCTGACCAATATACACATTCTGGGAGTCCTAGAAAGATAAAGAGGGAAAGAAGCAGAAAGCTTATTCATAGAAATAATGACCAAAAACTTAATAAACCTAGGGGGAGGAAAATGACATCCAAATACATGAAGCCCAATGAACCTGAACAGGATGAACCTGAACAGGATGAACCCAAAAGTCGGTACCAAGACACGTTATAATCAAAGTGTCAAAAGTCAAAGAAAAAAATAGAAATTAGAAAACAGCAAGAGAAAAGCAACTTGTCATATACAAGTGAAGTCCCATAAGACTGTCAACATGCTAAGTATGAAGGCTCATGCCTATAATCCCAACACTTTGGGAGGCAGAGGTAGAAGTTGAGATTGAGCCGAGGAGTTTGAGATTAGCCTGGGCAACATAGTGAGACCTCATCTCTAAAAAAAAAAACAAAAAAAAACAAAATTAAAAATTAGCCAGATGTGGTGGTACATGCCTGTAGTCCCAGCTATTTAGGAGGCTGAGGTGGGAGGATCACTTGAGCCTTGGAGGCTGAGGCTGCAGTGAGTCATGATCACACCACTGCACTCCTGCCTGGGTGGCAGAGTAAGACCTCGTCTCAAAAAAAAAAAAAAAAAAAAGATTTCTCAGGTGACACCTTGCCAGCCATAAGGAAGTGAAATGACGTGTTCAAAGTGCTAAAAGAAAAAACTTGCCAGTGAAGGATATTATATCTGGTAAAACCATCTATCAAAATGAATAAGAGGTAAAAACTTTTCCAGATAAACAAAAGCTGAGGGACTTCACTACTAAATTTGCCTTCAAGATATGTTCAAGAAAGCCCGCTAAACAGCAACATGAAAGTATAACGTTTGCTCATGAAGTTAAAAGTGTACACAAATACAGAATACTTTAACATAACAACAGTGGCACATAAATCATGTTTAATTCCATACAGAAGTTAAAAAACAAGGTATGAAAATGACTATAATAATATGTTATTGGATACACATATAAAAGGGTATAATTTTGACTTTAATAATAAAATGTGATGGGGAAAGGTAAAGGTGTAGGGTTTTTTTATACAATTGAAATTAACTTGTTAGCTGAAAATATTGTTGTAACTATGTTTTATGTAAGTCTCAGGTAACCACAAAGGAAACATCTATAGAAGATACACAAAAGAAAAATGAGAAAGGAATCAAAGCATGTTTCTTCAAAAATCAAAAAATGAAAAGCTTTTAAGACCAGGAACAAAGCAAGGATGTTCATTCTCACTACTTCTATTTAACTTAGTACGAAGAGTCCTAGCCAGACTGTAAGGCAAGAAAATAAAATAAAAGGAATCCAATTTGAAAAAGAATAAATTCAAATGATCTCTCCTTGCAGATGACATGATCTTTTATATAGAAAACCCTAAAGATTAAAAAAAAAATGTTAGGACTAATAAATCCAGTAAAGTTGCAGGATACAAAAATCAATGTACAAAAATCACTTGCAATTCTATATACTAAAAACAATCAAAAGAAGAATTTAAGGAAATAAACTCATTTATAATAGCAACAAAAATAATAAAATACCTAGGAATAAACAACTAAGGAGGCAAAAAACTTGTGCGCTGAAAATTATAAAACATTCCTGAAAAACAATGAAGATAATGCAAATAAATGGAAAGACAACCCATGTTCACAGATTGGAAGACCTAATATCGTTAGAATGTCCATGCTACTGAAAGCAATCTTTTTTTTTTTTTCTAGATGGAGTCTTGTTCTGTTGCCCAGGTTAGAATGCAGTGGTGCTATCTCAGCTCACTGCAAACTCCACCTCCTGCATTCAAGGGAGTCTCCTGCCTCAGCCTCAAAAGTAGCTCAGACTACAGGTACCCACCACCATGCCTGGCTAATTTTTGTATTTTTAGTGGAGATGGGGTTTCACCATGTTGGCCAGGCTGGTCTCGAATTCCTGACCTCACAATCTACCCACCTCAGCCTCCCAAAGTACTGAGATAACAGACATGATCCACCATGCCCAGCCGCAATCTAAATTTATATGGAACCACAAAGGACTACAAATAGGCAAAAGAATCTTGAGAAAAAAGATAAAAGTGCAGGCATCATACTTCCTGATTCTAAAATATATTACAAACCTGTAGTAATCAAAAAAGTATGATACTGGCATAAAGAAAAACATATAAACCAATGGAACATAATAGAGAGTCCAGAAAAAGATCCATACATATATGGTCAGCGGATCTTCAACAAGAGTGTCAATGGGGATTGATATGGTTTGGTTGTTTCCGCCAAAGCTCAGGTTGATACGTGTTCCCCAATGTCATAGGTGAGGAAATGTGTTGTTTGGTTGTTTCCTCCAAAGCTCATATTGAAATGTGTTCCCCAATGTCATAGTGAGAGGTGTGTGGTTCATGGGAACAGATCCCCCCATGAAAGGCTTAGTGCCCTCCTGTGGTAATGGGTGAATTCTTCCTCTAATTAGTTCACATGAGATCTCCTCTCCTCTCTCTTGGTCACTCTCTAGCTATGTGATGTGCCTGCTTTCCCTTTACCTTCTGCTATGATTGTAGACTTTCTGAGGCCCTCATCAGAAGGAGATGCTTATGCCATGATTTTTGTACAGCCTGCAGAACGATCAGCCAAATAAACCTCTTATCTTAATAAATTATCCAGTCTTGATGTTGGCAACAATTGTTTGGATATGACACCAAAAACATAGGCAATATAAGCAAAAATAGACAAGGAAGACAACATTGAACTAAAGAACTTCTGTGCAGCAAAGTAAATAATCAGCAATCTACAGAATGGGAGAAAATATTTGCAAAGCATATATCATATCTGATAAGGAGTACGTCTCCAAAATATATAAGAAACTCCTATATCTCAATAGCAACAAACAAATATACACACCAAAAACCAAACCAAAAAAACAGATACACAAAGAAATCCAAATACCCTAATTAAAAAATGAGCAAATGAAAAGACATTTCTCCAAGGAAGACATATGATTTGGCTAACAATAGAAAAGATGCTTAACAATCCTAATCATCAGAGGAATGGAAATCAAATCCACAATGAGCTATCATATCATATCATGTAGGATAGCCTTTATGAAATTTAAAAAAGAGAAACAAGAAAAAAAGGAAATAAGAGTTAGCAGGGATATGGAGAAATTGAAACCCTTGTGTGCTATTGGTGGGAATGTCAAATGTTGCAGATGCTATGAAGAACAGTATCAAATCAAAAAATTAAAATTAGAACTATGATAATTCACCAATTCTATGCTTGGTAGTTATTTTAAAAAGTTGAAATCAGGATCTTGAAGAGATATCTGCATTCCCATGTCTACTGCAGCATTGTTCCCAATATCCATGAGGTGGAAATAACCTAAATGTCTACTGACAGATGAATGGATTTAAAAAATGGTATAATGTATACATAAAATAAAATATTAAGCAGTCATTGAAAAGAAGGAAATCCTGTCAGATACTACAATATACAATTTAAGGACATTATGCTAACTGAAATTAACCAGTTACAGAATACTGCATAATTCAATTTATATGAGGTATCTAAATTAGCCAAACTAATAGAGGCAGAAAGTACAGTGGTGGTTGCCAGGGGATTGAGGGGAGAGGGAATGGGGCATTGCTGTTCAATCGATTTTAAGTTTCAGTTATGCAAGATTTAAAAGTTCTAGATACTTGCTATACAATGCTGTGCTTACAATTAACAATATTGTACTGTGCACTTAATAAGATGGTAGATCTTGTTATGTGTTTTTTATCACAACAAAAATATGAAGATTGTTACTAGTTCTTACTCTAGGCCCAGCTGAGATCTTACCAGATATATAGCGACCTGGGTTATTCCTAAAACGATCATCCACTAGAATAAGAGCTCCCCAATCATTTCTGTGTCGAATACATCTACAAAAAATAGGGAGAAAATCAATTTTATA